AATCCGGCCCCCCCAACGGCCCCAAAACCCCCCCCGGGTCCTGCTCGCTTCATGTCAGCCAAAGAACCTCCTCCTCCTCCTCCTCCTCCTCCTCCTCCTCCTCCATCCCCCCCCCCACCCCCCACCCCTTCTCTTGCTCTCCTCTGCCACTGTTCCTCCTCCCTCTCTGTTCCTTCTCCCTCACCTGATCCTCGCAGACTCGACAAGAGCTTCTCAGCGTCTGCCTTGTCGCTCATCCTTGCGCACGCTGCAATGTGTCTGATCACGAGAGGAGAGAGGGCAGGGGAGGAAATGAGGAGCAGGGAGGAGAAGAGGGTAGATGGGAAGGAGGTGGGAGAGGAGCAGAGAGAAGAGGAAGAGGATGAGGATGAGGATGAGGGAGAAAATCAGGATCAGGATCAGCACCAGGAGCAGGATCAGGAGCAGGCGGGGGAGCAGGATCAGGACAGGATTGTTTTTACCTTTTCCAGTATCTCCTTCATATTCGAGGAAAGCGACGGAAGCGACTCCTGTTGGCGAGCAACCAAATCTTGAGCAGACGGAAAAGAAGAGAAGGAGAAAGAAGAAGAGGAGAAAGAAGAAGAGGAAAAGAATGAAATGGTGAGATTGGGCAGGGACAGGAATATCAAGGAGATGAGATATAGGTACGAAAAGGAGGAAAAGCAAGGGAACCAAGAGACGAGAAGCAAGAAAACAGGACGAGACCTTAGAAACAGGACGAGAAGAACGAGGAGGAGGAAGAAGAGGGAAAGGGGCGGGGGGGGAAGACGAGGACGAGGACGGGGACAAGGACGAGGACAAGGACAAGGGCAAGGGCAAGGACGAGGAGGGGCGCATTAGCAGCAGCAGCAGCAGCAGCAGCAGCAGCAGCAGCAGCAGCAGCAGTTTGAAAAACGAGAATTTTTACCTGCAACAGCACGTCGTATGGCACGGAAATCAAGTCTTGCAGCAATCTTGAGAAGAAAAGAGTCAGGAGAAGTGAAAAGATAACGGAGCAAAGAGACAAGGCAGGAAAATGACTGAACATGGAAGGAAAGGGAAGAGATAGAGGAACGAGAGGAGGAGAAAGTCGGAGGAGGAGACGTGGGGGTGGAAGGAGGAGACAGAGGCAAGGGCGTGATATACAAATCAGAACAGAGAAAACAAGGAGAAGTTTGTAGTATTGACAAGACAGGCTTGCAGGGATGATGTTGAAAAGGAGGATGGAGCAAGAAAACCTCAGGTTTGAGCTGAAACTTGACCAGCAGCCCTGTCTCATAGTCCTTCCCTGGCTGAAAGAAGAGGAATGAGAAGAGGAGGAGCAAGATGAGGAGCGTAGTTGGAGGGGTAGGAGAGGAGCAGCGGCGAGGAGCAGCGGCGAGGAGCAGGAGCAGGAGCAGGAGCAGGAGCAGGAGCAGAAAGATTGATAGGCAGGAGCTGGAGCTGGAGCTGGAGCTGGAGCTGGAGCAGGAGCAGGAGCAGGAGCAGGAGCAGGAGCAGGAGAGGGAGCAGGAGCAGGAGAGGGAGCAGGAGCAGCGGCAAGGAGCAGGAGCAGGGGAACGGGAACGGGAACGGAGAAGGAGAAAGTGAATGACCACGAGAGACTCGATAGAGATGGATGCTTCTTGATCTATCTCATTGCTGCTGCTCTCAAACATCCGACGAATTCTTTTGCCCTGCCGAGATACCTCTCAGCTCCTCTTGTGGTCCTTCCCATAACCTCGTCGTTCTCTTCTTGTCCTGTCCTTGAGGATCTCCTTTCCCTTCCTCCACATCTCCTCTCTCCCCCTCTCTTCTTCTCTCTTCGCTTTTCTCCTCCCCTCCCCTCTCCTCTCCTCTCCTCTCCTCTCCTCTCCTCTCCTCTCCTCTCCTCTCCTCTCCTCTCCTCTCCTCTCCTCTCCTCTCCTCTTCCTCTCCTCCCCTACTCTCTCCTCCGCTTCTCCTCTCCTCTCCTCTCCTCTCCTCTCCTCTCCTCTCCTCTCCTCTCCTCTCCTCTCCTCTCCTCTCCTTACCTGCATGATGTTGGCCCAGTACAGCTCCTCTTCCTTTCCGTGCAAAACTGTAACAATTCTTTGAATCTTCTCACAACATCATAGTGACGCGAACCGACAACTTCAATCTGACAAGATCCCAGGCGTTGTTTCCTATCCTGCAACAGACACACTGTGAGTGCAAAAACTACAAACATCTCAAGAAAAATTCTGAGCAACAAGAAGAAAGAAAACACGAAAAGACTCCCAACTGAATCGTTTCAAGAGCATCGAGGCATGCAACACATCGATTGTCAGAGATGAAAGGTTGTTACTCTAATGGAGTTACGAACAACAACTTTCTCTCAACAAGTCACCACACATCTCAAAACAATACATCCAACAGGAGATCCAACAGGTACCTTCATGTGTGTCAAACACAACCGCGCCCCCTTCGCGTCGTCAAAACGAACATTCCCAAAGAATTTCTGCAGCAATTCTCACAAAGGGCCGAGTGAAAACGATCGTCACCTGCTCTCCAGCTCCCTTCTCACTGATGGTAGTGACGTCCCATGCTCTAGCAGGCAAATCAATAGGTCAAGATATCAGCTACACGTGCACACTTTATGGGAGCAAAGGCCTCGAAAGTTTCCTTAACCTGTCGAACAGAAATCAAGAAGGGAGGAGGACGAGGATTGTGGTCAGTAGACGAGAGTAAGCGCGAGGAGGAGCGGGGAAAGGAGAAGAGTAGGAGGAGACCAGGAGGAGGAGGAGAGTGAGCGGGAGGAGCTCCATGAAGAGAGGAATGAGCACGACGAGGGCGTGGCGAGGACGAGGACGAGATGGATGACAAAGAAGAAGAGGAAAAGGGAGAGGAGGAGGAGGAG